AACTGGGACACGCATTATTACTCATTCGTCACTCATCTATCTCCTATTTCCTTATCTCTATCAGTTTCCTTTTATTAAAGTAAAATAAATATTTAAACTGTACTTTATGTTCTATCGTCTTTGTTATATATATATACATTGAAACTTATTAAGTATACTGCCATCATTTTTCCGCTAATAATGATTATTATTATTATTTTTTTGTAAAAATGTACAGTTTAAAATTAAATTAATTTTTATAAAATATAAAAAATGTCGAGTTTATTGTAGATAAAAAATTATTTCTATTAGTAGATCTTCGGGGTAACTTTCAAAATTTAAATAAAGAATCTATTATTATTTTTTCAACTATAAAATGAAGAATGATATAAATAATATTTTAATAGATCGATAATAATACAATACTGGTTATTGTATTATTACTTTTTGAGTTTTTATAATTTTTAGTTATAGGTGAGACGGATGCGCAACGTAAAATATTTTTTATCTGTATGTCATGGTAAAAACTGATCGTCAGGTCGAAGATTACAGAAACTAATAATAATAAAATTATTGAGCCTACACTGGACAATGTAATAGACAATGATACGTTTAGTGGCTTACAGTGCATCAAATAGAGGACAGGATGCTGGACAGGATAGAGAGTAGAGTGTACACCAATTTGATATCTGCCAACCTGTTCGCCGAAGCAGATTTATGGTTCAGCTGACACAGATAACACCCACAAATAAAATATTATCAAAAATCAAAAAAATACCAATCATCATCGCAACATGCAGACGGTTCAACCAAAATAAATTAAGATATACAAAAAAAATGAAGGGTTACCTTTTTTGTCACGTTACAAACATAATAAGTACATATTTATCTACAGTGCATATTCAGAACCTGTAAATTGAAATGATATTTATGTATTTTATAAAAATTCGTTTTTTTTAAAGTTTGCTACAAACATTAATTATTATTTTCAAAATTCAACAATAAATACATAAATATTCTCTCGAGATGTGTACTTCAACATACTTCATGAATCTTTTTAAGTAAAAAAAATAAGTTGAAGACATTCAAGCTATTGATATTACTAATAACCAAAATAATATTAGTTTTCATTCGTTATCTACTAATTACATAGACTCTGGAGATGATTTCCAATTTCAATTGCAATATTAGTCTAATAAATAAATGTTGTTTTAATAGTTTATATTATGAAAAAAATAGTAGTAGTATTAACAAAATATGAACAAACTATTATGAAAAATATTGCAACTGGAAATCATTCAATAAGAACCTAATTTACATTATTTAATATATGTATATGTATGTTCCTACTTGTTTTTTTATATTTTTTTTTTTTTACAAAATAGTTATATATGTATGTTTTTTTTTTTTACTTTAATTTTTACAAAAATTATGAAATAGTATTTTATTTAGTTATGAAATAATATATGTTTTTTACATTTTATGTTAAGTAATTGAATAGTAATATTCTTAATGGTGTTTAAAATTTATTTTAAACTAAAAAGTTGTTAGTTCTTTTTTTAAATTGAGGATTTTCCTAATTTCATTTGTCTGCTATTTTTTATTAAAAATTTTACACATAAAATACAAAATAACCAAATATAATATTTCATTTTAATAATTGGCTATTATAATATATTAGACAATTTTTAAATATATCTTAATTATTAATTAAATATTTATTAATAATTAATTTATAATTAAAATCGTATTTTGATGTTAATTAACTGTTTAAAATATTATATTTATATATTTACGAGTCATTTTCAAAATGTTCATATTTTTCTGAAAAAACTGTTATTAGTCCTTGATTTCATTTTTTTGGGATATTTTGGATCTCTAATGTACATATAGAAATTAATGATTTATACTCATATACATTTTTACATAATATACTTTATAATACAAAATATTTATTATTAGCTAAAGTTTTGTATTAGGGATAATTGTTGTGCGATTGTGTGGAGAATTAGTAATAGACATTTTATATCTGAATTAGTTCCACTATTTTTTTTTTTATATATTATTCTATTTTTCGCGGAAATGTCATTTTTGATTGATTCTGACGTGTATATGCAGATTTCTATGCATATTTATTCCTGTTGCTACTGTTTAAATTAAATTTGTACTTTCAAATTAATATTAAAAGCTACAAAAGTGTTAAAATTATTAAAACACCATAATAATCCCAAAATTAGATTTTGACGAAATAATCTTTTTTTTAATTTAATTAAATAATATAATTTCTTAGCCATTAAGCATAAAAATGAAATGAGAAACATTTTCTGCATTATTTTCTCTGATACATTTTATTTTTAATATTTTATATATTATGGGCGACGTTTTATAATTTTCTTAAAAAGAAACAGCTGAAATAAAAGCTTAAAATGGCATATGTTAATGACATTGCATTGGTTCAACATTTTGTAAAAATCATTTTTATTTCAATAAGAAAAAAAAATCAGAATTCGAATATGAATAAAATTTCATTATATATTATATTTAATACATATTAAATCTTGTTGAATCAAAATTCAAATATCGAATTTAAAAAGTTTAATTTATTTATTGAATTTAATAATCACTACATTACTACACATTAGTTTAAGTTTAGCGTAAGTAATTTATTATTAAAACATCGTGTAAATGCAAAATTTACTACGCCATTACTTTATTTAACTGAGTTGTTTTCAATTAGCAAATTGAACAAAAGTTTAAACACTTGAACAAAATTAATTTTTATGTCTTACTGAATGTATGTTTTAGTGAGTTCCTCTAATTAAAATTTTATTTTCTAAGACTATTCTAAATTTATCGATTTGTTACAGATAAAATCTTTTGACCTATCGAGTTTTGATAATTGTTTTAATGACGTGAAATAAATAATTAAGTTAATTTTTGAGTTTTTCCGATTTCAACCGCCAACCCACTCTAACTTTATGAGTTAAACTGGCCCGCTGTTTTTTTTTTTTTTTTTTT